GTGGGTGAGATTCTGTGGCCTGCGTTGTGCAGGAGGTCAGACTAGAAGGTCATAATGGTCCCTTCTGACCTTAAAGTCTATGAGTCTGAAAGGATGTTCTCCAGATAAGTCTGGGGAGTGGCCAAACCAGTTCCTCAGAGACAAAGGTAAGCTAATGCCTCAACCAGGTGTAAACAAGGTTGATGGACCGTTACCTGATAAGTGGCCATTCTTTGGAAGGAAAGGGGTCAGGGGCAAAAAAAAATCTACATCTTAGCAAAGAAACAGCATGAAGTTCCCTTCTACACAGATTGCCTGTTGCCTTGCTCCCAGCTGGAAATGCTTCTCAAAGGGGGAACAGGACTGTGAAAGGAAGGGTCAGACACACTAAGACACACCCTTATTTCTCTCCCTGCCCATCACATTCACTGCACTTGAAGCGAGAAAGGAAGCAAGCATTGGACTTTGGGGGGAGGGTCATGACCTATAGGGTTTGGTCAGTAAAGCTGCTGAAAGCATGTGGTAAGAAACTGTGCTTGAATCTGATATAGTTTGATAAGTTAGGTATTACTAAACATCTTAGCTTTATTTTTCTTGTAATCATTTTTTACTTTTATGCCTCATTATTTGTACTCACTTAAAATCTATCTGTTTGTGGTTAATAAACTTGTTTTAGTGTTTTATCTGATCCAGTGTGTTCAAGTTGAAGTGTCTGGGTAACTCCTTTTGGGGTGACAAGTTATGTGCATATTATTCCCTTACTGGAATAAAGGACTCAAGAGATCTGTAATGTCCAGGAGAGGGCTGGGCAGTAGAGAACATACGTTTCTGGGGGGAAATCTGAGACTAGCAGTGTGCTGCGGTCACCCTGCAGTATAACCAAGGCTGGTGAGAGCCAAAGTGTGGCTGGCAGGCTGCAGTTAAACACGGATGCTCAGGGTGTGGCTTGCCTGCTTGAAGGCTGTTTGTGAGTGGCCCAGGTAGGAGGCATCCAAACAAATGTTAAGACTCCCCAGGTTGCAGGGCAGGGTGCCATCCTTGGTCATTAGTCTGGAATGTACCGTGGTATGTCACAATAAGAATTTTTTTATTTAAAAAAAACAAAACAAATACCATGATTGATGAATGACATTTGAAAAAAATCATTTTAAATTAGTCAATTCATGTAAATACCCTGATGGATTATATTTTATATTTTCTGAAAAACACCCACCGTTGAAAAGGAACATCACTTTATAGACTAAAGATTATTTCTTCTTCACCTCAGTGCAGCGGTAGAGAAGTTACTCCTTTGCCTCCTATCAAGTGTATTGGGGAAGCTCTCAAATCTAAATTGCCTTCTCATGTTTGTTCCACTGGGACAAAGGCTGCTTAATTTTACATGAAAATTACAGACAGGATTGCAAACATTAACAGGCTCAATTCTACTATGCAATCCTGTTTTCATTGTATTATCCTGGGGGTGTTGACAGCCGCAAGATTCAACTGTCAGCATCAAGAGAGCTGGGGACTGCTCTACATGGCGTTTCAGTAAAGGAAAGTTGACATTTCATTGTAGCTTTCCCCATGAAAACTATTGTAATTGTTATTCGATATCTCTGTTGGATAGTCTGAGCATAACCCTACCATAAACTCCTAGGAAGAGGTGCAGTCGGTGGCAGATGGTGATCAATTTTCATAGTTTACATAATTGTATATAGAAATTGGAGGCTTGCAGGACATTCATATCAATGCAATTTTCTGAGGTCTTACTGATGATAGGATTTATACATGTAGGGGATGCTGAGTTATGTGAAGGCCTCATAGGTATGGTTAAGAGATCAGAGCACACGACCAGGAGCCAAGAATTCTGGACTTTCAAGCCTATCTCTGAGACTTATCTTGGGCAGGTCACTTAGCCTCTCTCCTGCTGTTTCTCCATTTTAAATTGGGCATATCCGTACTTAATCTAAATCCTGCCTCATAGGGGTGTTGTGAGGATTAGTAAATTAATGGCAAGTAGGAGCTGGAGGACAGGCCAATCATTTGTAAAGCAGTGTGTTGGCAATCCTGAGGGATGCTGGGCATCCTCCACCCCATTTGTTGAAACCAGTTGGAGTCGAGGGCACTCAGCACCTCAGTGGAGGCACTCAGCACCTTACTGAATGAGGCCTATATAAGTGCTGAGTATTATTGATGAAATTCTAACAGGTTTCTTTGACATCCATGAAAATACACAAATCTTCTTTTGTATCTTGGGCCAGTGGTAAGGTGCAATTTTTGGAAAGACTTTTGCTCTCTCCATTGTTGAGACCACACTCTGCATTCCTAACTGGCAGCAGAAAGGCTCCTTTAATACAAGATTACTGCGTGCAATGGTGTAGAAAAGCCAGAGGGTTGGTAGAAATGGTCATTTTCTCCCAGAAGAAAAGAGGAAAAAAATCAAAGAGAAAAAATCAACATGATGCATGAACAAGCAAGTAATAAAGAATGAAAGGCATTGGAGACTATTGAAACTAGTTTCAGTCCAGGAAGCATATTTTGACAGAAAATAATTTTATCCTGTGTAGCTGTATCAAGCTTTCTTCTTCTATAGGAATACAGGGGAGAATGGATTTTGTTTCCTTGGTGTCCTGCGTATGTCAAAGCAGCGAGATATTTGTGTTAGATGTAGTTTGTATATGTTTATTTAGATATAGAGATGTCTAAATCAACATATAATATATAATATAAAAATTAAGACTTACACATCTAGGTTTTTGGCACAGCACGTTATAGATAGGCGCTAGCTGGGAAGTTTGGGGCCATCAGGATTTTGATTCAGACCAATCTCTAATTGGAACATTAACACCTAATAAATTACCAATATCTTTTAAATACTTTTTAAACATTTCTCTGTTATTGAAATGAGTTGCATTGTATTTTAACATCATAGGGGCCAAAATCATCCCACTGTCAATTAAACCCAGGATGAATTTGGCCCAAACTCCCCTCCTGGAAAAACATAGTTGTGCTTGTATCCGGCCTATGTTAATGTATGTTATTGTTTCTCTTGTTCTCCTTTCTCCAGTGCTTCCTACTGTTTGTTACACCCATTTGCTGTGTCTTCTCTTAAATTAGATTATAAGCTCCTCAGGGCAAGGACTGTCATACTCTGTATTTGTACATTGCCTAGCACAACCGGTTGCCCTCCTGATTTGAGCCTTTAGGCAAGATTGTAGTATAAATTGTTGGTTTTGTTTCTAAAAGAAACTTAACTCTGTTCTCTCCCCAGCCTTTTTGTCGCCTGCTTTAGGGATATTAAGTTTAATGATATCTTTAGTCTTATTCAGCATACTATTAATTCAAAGGGAGCGTAAGGACAACTGTTTTCCATATTTGAAAATATTAAATAACTTTTAATAAAAAAGTAATATTCTCTCAGGTGTAGAGTATGCTAGGTTTCATGTGATTGCAGGCTTTATTTGACAAAACAATTTCCTTAAATCAAAAGTGAATTGCCCACATATGCTGCCTCGTATACTCAGTACTCGGTGCAGCTCTAAAATGCATGGGATGCTCAAATGCTTCAAGTGTGAAGTGACGATTTTGTGAAGTGAAAGTAAGATTTTGTGCAGCATGGGATAGTCTAGAGTGAGAGGAACAGGGGAATGTTTGATCGTTGAGCCTCTCTGTAAAGTCCTGATTCTATGCCCACTGACGTCAGAAGTGAGGTCCTCATTGATGTCAATGGTGCAGGATCAGGACATAAATTCTTTCAGATTTCACACAATTGAACACAGGAATTAAAAAAAAAACCAGTTGCAGCATTTTGGCCAAGTTTGCATATCATAACTTATGTAACAGCAGGATGTAAAACTATGAAACTATCAGCTTGATTCTTATCTCATTTATATCAGTTTTATGCTGTTTTAACTCGATTGGCTTCAGTGGTGTTACTCTTGATTTATACCAGAAAGAATGTGATTATATTCAAGCATATGTATTTCATCTTTGTACATGTTCTTCCTTCCTGTAACAGATATACATGCCACATCTCACAATTTTGCAGAAGTTAGCATTGAAACAACTCAGTTGCTTGACTGGGCTTTTGAAACTTTTTGGAAAGTTTGCAAGCATGAAAGAAGAAATGCGATTTCACTGAAGATGGCAAGAAGAGACGCTCAGAGCATTTTCTACATGGCTGATGGATGTTGGTTTATGTATTTTCCTCTTATCCGCAGCCCAGATCCAGGAAGGTACTTAAACATGTATAACTTTAAAGGTATGAGTGGTCCCATTGAAGCCAACTACTTTTGTTTGTTTGTTGATTTATTTGTTTGTTAAAACTTTTTAACTCTTGAGTACTATAGTTGGGCCTGAGCTGCAGAGTTTATCTGAATTCCTCCAAAGAGAAACACAATGAAGTTATTTGGACTACTCAAGTGCTTAAAGTTATACATGGGCTTAAATACCTTTCTGAATCAAGGCCCTTAATGGGTCAATAAATGTTTTTGCTAGGTATTGATGCTGAAAGGCCATAATTCTAATTCTTTCATTTCATTCAAATAAAATAAAAACCCTAGTAAGCACAGAAAGACTTCATTTTCAAATACGATCGTAGATTTAAGTTAGTGTTTGTCTGCTAGCTCTGGTCTCTATTGACACTATCTCTGTTTCCTTTATGTTGCTTAAAATTATGTCTAACTGATGTAAAACAGCTGTTCTCTGACTTCTGCAACAAAACATTTCCTGAGCAACTGTCATTTACCTTGACACAGAATTGGGAGATCTGATATGATTGACTGATATAATCTTTTTAGTCTTACTTACCCAGCAGAGCTCTTTTTAAATGGTACCTTCTTAATACTTGTCTGAGAGCTAGATGTTTAACTAAAGCCTGGTAATAGCAACCTGGTTTTCATTTGTTTTCTGACAGATGATTCAGGAGAGCAGGTTTCTTATTGAAACAGCAGACACCGTTCATGACAAGATTGTTCAGTGTCAGAAAGCAGGTAACCTTGTTGTATTCTCTGTACACATTGTTGTAACTCTATACCTTGTTGTAACTCTATACAAATTTTTAAGGTGGTGGAAACAGCATGCCATAGTTTTTTTTTAGAGCAGAGTACAAAGGGGAGAAGCACCTTTGGCCTTCAATTAAATGCTCATTTTACAATTCAGTTACACCATTCCAACTTTTCTAATATGGACAAGGCCTTAGAGACAAGTTCTGCAAACACTCACTACTGAATGTAGTCTTTGCTTTCAGCTGGAATCTGATAAGTAGTCTTCAATAAAACTACATACTGCAGTAAACACTACTGTCTGTGATAAGTGTTTGCAGGAAGGGGCCTTTGGATTAGTAAACTACTGGGGCCAGAGCCACGCACACTCCTTAAATAAACAATATAATTAATGCCCTGTAATAAATTCCTTTAATTCCTCCATCTTTAATAGAGAAAAATTTCACAGAATGGTTTAACAATAACATTCTACTGATTTGTTCACCTAATATAAGAGCAGGGTGGAAATTGGTTTTTGCCTTTTGCCCCATGCTTGAAATCCAGGCTACTCTTTCCAGGCCTTGCCAGTAGAGTGACAATCATATCACTTTTCAGCACTCTTGTGGCTGGTCACCAGAATTGAGACTCAAAATTGACTGTGGTGCTTTGGTTATAGCCTATTTCAGCCATGTAGAACCACCAGTGAGACTGTTTGTTTTTCAAATGCGTCCCTAACAAATGTTAATTTTTATTAACATCTTTAAATCCATATACATTTCATTATTTCCATAGAGCATAAAGAAAATCCTTCCCCCGTGTGAACTTTCTGAATTGTGGCTTCCATCAGATGGGCATGAGATTTGTTTATTTAAATATATATTTTAGTCAAAATCATCACTTGAGCTGGGTTGTCAAGCTGGGACAACCGTGAATGAAGGAGACTGCAGAAAATAATACTATTTCAAGTATCATAGAAATATACACACAGTAAAATCCTCAACAGGAAAGTCACAGGTGTGAAATGATGCTCTCTCACTTTCTGTAGTCTAGATCTGGAATAACTCTATTCATAGATTCATAGATTCTAGGACTGGAAGGGACCTCGAGAGGTCATCGAGTCCAGTCCCCTGCCCTCATGGCAGGACCAAATACTGCCTAGACCATCCCTGATAGACATTTATCTAACCTACTCTTAAATATCTCCAGAGATGGAGATTCCACAACCTCCCTAGGCAGTTTATTCCAGTGTTTAACCACCCTGACAGTTAGGAACGTTTTTCTAATGTCCAACCTAAACCTCCCTTGCTGCAGTTTAAGCCCATTGCTTCTTGTTCTATCCTTAGAGGCTAAGATGAACAAGTTTTCTCCCTCCTCCTTATGACACCCTTTTAGATACCTGAAAATTGCTATCAGGTCCCCGTCAGTCTTCCCTTTTCCAAACTAAACAAACCCAATTCTTTCAGCCTTCCTTCATAGGTCATGTTCTCAAGACCTTTAATCATTCTTATTGCTCTTCTCTGGACCCTGTCCAATTGAAATAATCAGAAACAGAATGGGGCCCACAGACTTCAAAAATAGCCTTAAAATGAGTGGAAAATTAAGTGGAACTGAGCAGGTTTGTTCTGGAGTAATGTACTGTAGCTGCTCACAGCTAATATTTTTGCTGGAATGATCAGTTGTGATTTAGGAGTGGATTCTGCATTGACTACTCTACTACTTAGGATCCATCTCCCACTTTGTGCCTGTGTTTTACTCTGAATGAGGTTACCAGGGGCTACTCGTGCACATCAAAGAAAGAGTGTGGAAGTTAGTGATGAATTTATAATTGTGAACTCTGTGTGTAAAACAGGAGGGGTCAATCCCTTACGGTATGTCCACATGACAATTAAAAATCCACGGCTGGCCCATGTCTGCTGATTCCGAATTGGGCTAAGGGGATGTTTAATTACAGTGTATATATTTGGACTCGGGTCCCAGAGCTTGGGCTCCAGCCCAAGCCAAAACATATACACTGCAATTCAATAGCCCCTTAGCCTGAGTCCCAGGAGCCCGAATCAGCTGACATAGGCCAGCCATGTGAGTCTAACTGCAATATAGTCAGACCC